TTTTAGGTTGATTACTAGTAAGTACATACATTGTGTACATATTTATTTATTGTTTGATTCAGCCTTTATTATAATGTAACGAAATGTAAACTGTATTTTTTTAAAAGTGGGGTTACATGATTGAAAGGTTCATTAAACCATTAAAACTGTGAATGACTAAATTACAAGCAGTGACAGTAAAAATTATTAATTTGTGGCTTGTGTTCTGCTCGTGTTAGTCTATGTGTACCGATCTTTGTTGAGATAGGTCTCAAAACATACTGACATTCCTAAAATATTTCAGGTGTTCATGATTTTCCAAGTTTGATAGTAACAATTTTATAACTTACAGGATGTCACATGATCTGGTTTCCCTTGTCATTTGTACAAAGATCTTGAGGTATGCTGAAAATGAAAGAAATTCAAACTCAGATGAAAAGGATTTTCCTTGTACATTTATTATTGGCAAAAAAAACAGTTTTTGAACTTTAAAACCCTGTTGCTCAGATTTAAAAAGCTCGTTTGTGAAGCCACACAGATTATTCAGCACACAGTGGTTAATTACTCATCATTGCAACAGGTGAGATCTATGATAAGAAAAAACAATGCAGGAGAATCAGGGGTAATCACTACCAGGTCTTAAACCANAGGTATGCTGAAAATGAAAGAAATTCAAACTCAGATGAAAAGGATTTTCCTTGTACATTTATTATTGGCAAAAAAAACAGTTTTTGAACTTTAAAACCCTGTTGCTCAGATTTAAAAAGCTCGTTTGTGAAGCCACACAGATTATTCAGCACACAGTGGTTAATTACTCATCATTGCAACAGGTGAGATCTATGATAAGAAAAAACAATGCAGGAGAATCGGGGGTAATCACTACCAGGTCTTAAACCAAATTGCCATTTGAGATTTGTTTGTCAAAAAAGCCATTTAAACTAATCAAGCTGCTTTCTAGTCATTTTCTGGTCAAAAACCCCCAAAACTTCAAAAAATATTGTTTACAAAAATAAATACAATGACCACTGCACTAGACTGGCTTTTGTTCCTGGAGCCAAATTATGGCTTTCAAGGTTTCGAAATGGCCAGAAGGATGTGCTCCTTAGGATTTAAGTAAATTACTTTTCCCTAATTCATGCTTCTTTTTTTTAAACTCTTGTTTTCCCATTTTACTCTGTCTAATGACTAAGCTTCAATGTAGTGGAGGGAAATGTTTTGGCCAAAAACCCAAAGATCATGAAATTATTTAAAAAGGAAGTACAGGTGTGTTTTGAAACAAGATTTTTGTGACTTCTTATTTTTTTCTGTGGCCCATGTGTTCTCCCTCATGATTTGTATTGTGTCTAAGCCACTTTGGTCCTATCTGGTAACAAGAAAACCCATATCGAAATGGAAGATAGCCTTTCACCACTGTAGAGACAACCTTTTGAAAAATTTAATTGGTAGAATTGAAAAAGTAGAACTACTATGTAGATCTGAGTATTTATTGTAGTAGCACTGCTGTTACATTTTTACCGTAATTATGAATATTTCTTATTGCTAAAGTAATGGTCTTAGCGAATGGGTCACACAGAAATTAGATTTTCCCTATGGCTGCATGGTTGTTGAGTAGAGGTTTAAGAACAAGAATAAAATCCTAGCCAATGCTAGTGCTGTTGCGTGGAGATGACCACTGAATTTGGACATTTGAACAACAGTTCAGCAGGTTTTACTCACCTGCAAACGATTGTAAGGTCAGCAGAATTTTTTTATAACTTGAGTTAAAACAGTTCACTTGTTCTTTCACCTAAAATATAAAAGAGTGGAAAAGGTTACATTTTTTACTTTTCAACAGCAAAGGATTTTTTCAATATTACTGAAGACTGTTTTAAGGACATGCTCAGACAACCACTCTGATGATGTCTTCAAATAAAAAAATGTCAGGTGAAGAAATTCATACCATCACTGCATGCCCCAGAAAAAAATACCAACCACACCGAATTGAAATCTTAAATTATAACAAAAACAGGTTGCTGTATTAGTAACAACTTTCTTAAAAGGCAAAAATACTTAAAGTACTTCTAATACTTTTTAACTGCACCCATCTAAGTTGTCATACACCAAAGTCAAATGTTGAGTGGTTAAAATAATAATTGGTTAAAACTTCTGAGATGGAATAATATTTACTGTTAAGTGCAACCAAAAAACAGCAAGGGTTTCTAAGTATTGAATATGTTGTTTGTTTCTATTAAAAGTAACAAGGCAAGTTTTCTTGTGGTGACTTACAAGTACTTTTAACATTACTTAATAAGGAGACATGACTGTACTATACACACATGTAGTTCTTAAGTGTAAAAAAAAAATTGGTAAGGTGAAGAATTCAAATCAGACCAGATCTACAATCAGGAAGTGCTAATACTGTACTGTACCTCTATCACACTAAAAATACCATCATCCAGATTATACAAGGTATATAATGGTTCTTTGGTGGATGTGCAGTTCAGCACTACTTGACATTAATTTTTCCCTGCAGCACTTGTTCCAAGTTTATTTTCTCACTGCACCTATTCAAGGAGGAACATGGATGACTATTAAAATCAATATTCATGTCCACATGCCTCAACAATAATGTGTCCTATAGTTTCTAGCCAATAATATATACTTGTCTAATTTTTAGTCTCACAAGAACAGGTCGTAATCACACAAATACTTCATTAATAATTTAAACAAAAATGTGATTTTTTTTCCTATCCTGTAAATTAAATTGTCACTTATTACAAACCTATGATTGTCACTATGACTCCAGAGAAGATGGCCACTCACTTTGACGATGGCGTTTTCTCCAGGTGATTTAATATGGGCAAAGATGCGTGGATATCCTCATTGGCCAGCCCGGATTGATGTTCCTGCACCAGATGAGAAGATTCCACCCAAAAAGTTTGCAATATTTTTCTTCGGAACACATGAAACAGGAAGCGTTGGCGGAAATACTGGAGAATCCGTAAGTAAAATGGGGAATGCGGGGACAGGAATTTAGAGAAAAGGATGATGATGAGCAGAAGGATAGAGACGAGAAGAGCGTGCATAAGGTAATAAGCAGGGACAGGAAGTGGAAGACGACGACGATGATGATGATGAGGAGGAGGAAGATACTGAACCATTCACATAGGAAGTGGAAGACGATGATAATGAGGAGGAAAAAAAGAATTTAGGGGAAGTGGATCCAATCACAGGGTTAACCAGGGACGTCATCAACAAACTCTATATTAGTGCTGTGAATCAACCTGGAGGGACAAAACAGGGAAGGGGCGAGTTATCAGGGAAGTTTGCAGCAAAGCCACTTGAAGATCTGTCTTGGCGTGGATTAATAAGAAGCATGTGAAATATGCAAAACTAAACGCATACGCAGACGACCATCAGATTTACTCGTCTAGCCTAGACCCACTCGCACTGGAAGAGTGCATTTGTCAAAAGTTAATGTCGCAAATCAGTGGTATAAAAACAATGGCATGATTGTCAACGAGAAAAAGCACCAAGCTCTAATCCTGGGAAAAACTGAGCACAATTTTAGTTCCCCAGTAAATAACTCAATAGATATATTTGGGATGACAATAGATAATAGGCTCTCTTTTGATAACCACATATCAGTTATCTGTAAGAAAATAACTAATCAATTTAACGTAATGCAGGGTTGTCAAAATGATTCAAAGTAGGCGGAGAATTAAAGTGAGTAGGCGGCACCTGGGGCCGGAGGCCCCCCAGGAGGTGAGGGGTCTGGGGGCCGCCTAGGCTGCCAGCGGGGTACAGGGGCAGTGCCCCGTTGGGGGTCCAGGGGGCGAAGCCCCCGGAAGCAAAACAGATTTGAGGTTTCCGAGCTAGCTGAAATTGGCTCTCCCGAGAGCAATGCTAACAATCGTGAGTATTTTGAATGAACATCATCAGTTTTTTTTTAAATTCCCCATTTCATTATTCTCTTAGATGCCATATCCTAGTACATGCTAGGTCCACATTTGTTTGTTTACAATAATAATGTTTACTATTTCTCAGATTTTTTTAATGATAACAGATTAAGAGTGTCAAAATTACTGTCAGCAATGCCGCCGTCACGCAAAGCAAAGGAAAAAACAGACATAAAATCACCAGGAAGAAAAAACTTACTGTTGGTCAACGAACTCACCTTCACTTCTTGCTCTTTTGCTAAAAAAGTTGACCAGAGAGGATTGTCGGTTACCCATTTTCTCACACAAACTCCGCATATACAAGTTTCCCAAGACCACATGTGGATTGAGCAAGTGTAATAGAATACCAAGAGCGGGAATTTTTATTTTTTTCCTTTGGTTGCATTGCGTTATCGGCACGTGCGCAAGTCAAACTTTGATGTAGAATTAAAAAAGGCTTTTCTTACGGGCGATTTTCTGTATAAGAATAAAGTTTCAGACAACTTTCCTTGGAAGATACATCACAACAAATTTTATTCCTGCACATGTATCATGTACGACTCTTCTATTGGCATCAATCCATGAAAAAAGCGAAAATGATGTTCTACACGTCTGACAAATTAACGAACGTTTTCGAATGCGTCATGTTTGTCAGCCAATTTCATGTACATTGTAAGATAGGTACTTTAATACATCGCATTACATTTGATTCGATTTCAAACGCAAACTTGTACCAGATGAGTGGGAAAACCACTCGAAAGCTTTCGCGTGTCTCTTATTCTTCATTGTCAACGAAGGATTATTTTAAAGACTATGTAAACAAACCCGTCGCATGCATCAACGCTATTTTTATTCGCTTCATTGTATCATATTACGGCTACAGAAAGAAGTAATGGGGAGCGGATTAGAAAACACGTTTCAAAATCACGAAAAAGAACATTCAGGACATGATGAAAACAATGTCTTTTTCTATTCTATTTTCTACTTTACAATTTTTTTTAAATCCTCTATTTTTCGCTTTTCTCCAACAATTTACAGCCGGCGAAAACCTCAGAGTAGCCGGCGATAGCGCCGGTCGCTGGCGCATTTTGACAACCCTGCGTAATGCTTAGATTTCGGAAACTTATTAATAAGGAGACGCTATTGAAGCTTTATAAGGCCTTTATTTTGCCACATTTCTACTACTTTTCTTCTGTGTGGCATTTCTGTGGTGCGCGCAATGCCAACAAAGTGGATAACCTAAATAAGCGCATTCTTAGGTTTATACTACAGGACTACAGCTCTCCATATGACATTTTACTAAGCAAAGTTAACATGAAATCTCTATTCATTAGACGCCTCCAGAACTTTATGATCACCTTATATAAGAGTCTGTTCTTTACGAATTATCCAGGTTATTTAAAAGATATGTTCACCGTACGATCTTCATCCTACAATTTGCGCGGAAATCATATCCTGGCCCTTCCCAACCCAAAAACAAAGACTTACAGTCTGCACCCTTTTTCATACTTAGCTAGCAAAATATGGAACTCCCTCCCAGACACTTACAAAACATTAAATTTTCTAGAATTCAAGCAGGAGATCCTCAGATATGAAGCTTTTCCACAGTAGATTTACCAGTTATATTTNACAAAGTGGATAACCTAAATAAGCGCATTCTTAGGTTTATACTACAGGACTACAGCTCTCCATATGACATTTTACTAAGCAAAGTTAACATGAAATCTCTATTCATTAGACGCCTCCAGAACTTTATGATCACCTTATATAAGAGTCTGTTCTTTACGAATTATCCAGGTTACTTAAAAGATATGTTCACCGTACGATCTTCATCCTACAATTTGCGCGGAAATCATATCCTGGCCCTTCCCAACCCAAAAACAAAGACTTACAGTCTGCACCCTTTTTCATACTTAGCTAGCAAAATATGGAACTCCCTCCCAGACACTTACAAAACATTAAATTTTCTAGAATTCAAGCAGGAGATCCTCAGATATGAAGCTTTTCCACAGTAGATTTACCAGTTATATTTTCCTTTGCATGCATAATGTTGTATATAGTTTATAAATGATATTGAATTGAAATATAGCATATTTTATTTTATTTTAACTTATTTTCTCGAATACATTAGCTCTACAGCTACTCTGTAAATTTCGAGCATAAATAAAGTATATGTATGTATGTATGTATGTATGTATGTATGTACTATCCTAAAAAGATATCAATATTTTCTTGCTTGCTTTTTATATCTTTTTTTTGACCATCACAAGTCTCATTTTCATACCAATTACTGCCCACTAACTTCAGATGCCTAAATATATAAGAAACTTATACTCTGGTCTTTCGATATAATTGGTAAAAGGAGAAAGAAATCAAGAGAATTACCACACTGTCAGCGACTTAAATAAAGTGAATCACCCTGCACTGTCACTTCTTAGTGGGTGACATGCAGTCACCACCTTTGCCATGTCTCATCACCCAGTGTCACAAATGCAACTTTCCTGTATGGTAGGTCATAGCTTGAGAAAACAGCCAACATTTCGTGACACCACCACTGGTTTCCCTGCGAAATGATATCTGAGGAACGAGCACAGAAATTTCATACTCATGACATGTCACTACCCAGAGCAGGGTAGTGCATTTCTGCAGTCGTTCCTCAGACATCATTTTGAGGGGAAACCAGTGGTGGCATCACAAAATGCCTGTTTTCTCAGGCTGTGTACGTTACACTATAATTCATCCTCGGAGACCCAGGGGACACAGGTCAATCATCAAGAGTAATCGCTGAATAAGAACAATCAACAACCTTACCATCTAAAGTTAATCTTACAGAAGCTGGAAACCTGAAAGTAGAATAATACGAAAGTTAGCACTAGAATATTGATTCAACATCAGTCAGCCATTCACAATAGTGCAACTAGTTGTCACTGCTCAGAACTTGATATATTCACAGTCAAGTGGGGTAATACTCAACTCATACATTAAGCCTTTTTTTGTCATCATAACAGTGACATGAAAAGAAAAAACACCAAACAAACAAAATTAAAACAATGTTTCCAAAATTTTCATAATCCCTTCAATCTCACACAAATCCTTGGAACACTTTTATTTTCTTAGCACCGACAGTATAAACCCCTCTGCCCAGTTCACTATTGTTGCATTTTCACAAATCAAGGGACACATGATTTTCAATTTTGTGAAGGGAAGGATGAGGGAAATTATAGAAGTTTACCTTTTCTGAGGTTGTAGGAGTAAGTTTTTCTAGGGCAAAAATGTGAAAAAATGTGACTGGATTGTGTGAAAAGAACGGGCAAATTCAACATATTAAATTTAACATGTCATCTTTCAAATTGAGTTGAGTGTCTTTTTTTTTTTCAACTTTAATCATAATTATTGTCCAGGGCTCAGAGAGAGAAACAGTGCCTTTAATTTTGATGTCAAAATAGAAAATTGTCACTTTTTTTCGAACCATTCATATATTTCCCCAAATATCCTTACCTCACTATCATTGTACCAGGATTCTTCTTAAATGGGTTCAATCTTTAGACTGGATATTGTACTGATTTTAGTCAAAAAGCTCGTCATACACCATCTTTCCTCAGGCACACTGTTACATTTTAATAGTCCTGTAAATAGAATGACTATGGTAAGGAAGCAACAAGTGCCAGCATTTGTCCTACAAAGTTGAACACTTTCACTGGTCAGAATATACAAATAATATTCACTCATATCTCATATCAGAAGAACGAAAGTTTAATTTTTCCTCATCATTCCAGTGAAACAAATTTGTAGCAGATTACGTGCTCTCATCAAATGAACCCCTTTATAAGCAGTAATGTCCCATATTAGATATATTACACCCGGTTGGTTCTTTCATTATCACTCTGAAAATTATTTTGGATTGCCTTTCATAATAGTGCCCACTTCCTTTTCAATAGGTCTTGATTTATAAAAGGTTAAATTGTAAGTATTTCCTTTTTCGGTTACTAAAACTTGTGCTTAGAGGTTCATTATTCTACTGGTTACGCTTTAGCACCTAAAAAGTAAAGGAAGACACTCCATATTACAAATACGTTTTAGAAGGGGTCGCATGAAGCAGTATCTGGAGCCCAAAATCAAAGCAGGCACGTGGTGGCCAGATTTTGTCTTTCACATCAAATGAGTTTGCGGAGTATCAGTTACCTCATAACAAACAGTCATTTCGGAAATCCAGTTTTCGAATTAACGCAACTGCTTAAAAAGCGTCTAAGGCACCCACAGTCAACGAAAGAGGAAAAATTTCCATACTTCTCCTCACATGCACAACGCGGCCCGCCACGCGTCAGCCATCTTTTCTTCTGCGCCTTTGAACCGGATCCAGAACTCCTTGCGAGCTTGTTTAAACCTTCCAACTGGCTGATGGGAAGGAGACATGATGGGAAGGGACCGTGGTGGGGGTGATGGTGGATATTGGGATGGGGGAGGGGGATGCGGGGAGGGGGTTCGGATGTGATGTAGAAAAGATGGGAAAAGTAGTAGAAATAGGTAAAGTGAGTCGAAGCGTCGCAATCAATAAACAAAAAGATCATGGTGAGACAAACGATAACGGCTGGAACTTTTTACAGAGAAGAATAATGAAAACATCGGGCCTTCCTATTTTCTTAGACCCTGTTTACATGGAGTGGGGGACCCCGGTCTAGTGGGGTAGGTTTCTTTTGTTTTGTGTCTCCCAGCGCGTGAAAACAAAAGAAACTTACCCCACCAGACCGGGGTCCCCCACTCCATATAAACAGGCCCTTGGAGAAAAGCCCTGGCGAAGTGGTTGTGTTAATTTACATACGTAAATTTCATTCGCGTGCGCACATAAAAATTACACGATATGGAAATCCACCCTTTTACTTTAAGTACTTGATCCTCAACAAAATTGCCATACAATGGACTCGAATTCTAGCCTCCNTTACGCTTTAGCACCTAAAAAGTAAAGGAAGACACTCCATATTACAAATACGTTTTAGAAGGGGTCGCATGAAGCAGTATCTGGAGCCCAAAATCAAAGCAGGCACGTGGTGGCCAGATTTTGTCTTTCACATCAAATGAGTTTGCGGAGTATCAGTTACCTCATAACAAACAGTCATTTCGGAAATCCAGTTTTCGAATTAACGCAACTGCTTAAAAAGCGTCTAAGGCACCCACAGTCAACGAAAGAGGAAAAATTTCCATACTTCTCCTCACATGCACAACGCGGCCCGCCACGCGTCAGCCATCTTTTCTTCTGCGCCTTTGAACCGGATCCAGAACTCCTTGCGAGCTTGTTTAAACCTTCCAACTGGCTGATGGGAAGGAGACATGATGGGAAGGGACCGTGGTGGGGGTGATGGTGGATATTGGGATGGGGGAGGGGGATGCGGGGAGGGGGTTCGGATGTGATGTAGAAAAGATGGGAAAAGTAGTAGAAATAGGTAAAGTGAGTCGAAGCGTCGCAATCAATAAACAAAAAGATCATGGTGAGACAAACGATAACGGCTGGAACTTTTTACAGAGAAGAATAATGAAAACATCGGGCCTTCCTATTTTCTTAGACCCTGTTTACATGGAGTGGGGGACCCCGGTCTAGTGGGGTAGGTTTCTTTTGTTTTGTGTCTCCCAGCGCGTGAAAACAAAAGAAACTTACCCCACCAGACCGGGGTCCCCCACTCCATATAAACAGGCCCTTGGAGAAAAGCCCTGGCGAAGTGGTTGTGTTAATTTACATACGTAAATTTCATTCGCGTGCGCACATAAAAATTACACGATATGGAAATCCACCCTTTTACTTTAAGTACTTGATCCTCAACAAAATTGCCATACAATGGACTCGAATTCTAGCCTCCCACGCAGACGTTCTTAGGGGTTCGTCACGCGTTCCTGCCCCAACGTCTGCGTGGGAGGCTACTCGAATTCTAACCCAGCTAGCTCGCAGGCTAAACAGTGTGTATGACGGTGATCCCAAGCCTACGGGTTTGCGTCCGTTAGGTTATAATTATTCTCTCATTTTGTCACAATCGTATAGGCCAAACAAACAACGAACTGTCTCCGTCACTAAAGACGGCTTTCCCTGGAGAAACCATCAGAAATCATCAGAAACGTACGTACAAATCTACTAGAAGTGAAAAGCAAAATAGTAGAAAACAAGAATAAGAACAATATCAGAGTATTTAAAGGCTATGAGTTTATAGAATATAAATTCTTCTTCAAATCTTGAAACACTCTTTGTTCCTCTGTAAAGGGTCGATATATCAGGTAAAAAGTTTTTTGACAGTTCAAGTGTTAGATGTCTCCATACTTTCCTCATTTCAGATTCCCGAACGAAAAGTGACGCGTAAGTCCAGGGACCCCTCAAGGTTTGGATAGGTGCAGTCGTGGTAAAAAACAGCCGTTCTAGTCGTTTCGCAGAACCCTTCGGTACCTGCCTAGAAGCAGTAAATAGTTGTACGGGCGCAAGAAAAAGCTGGCCGAGTTGGCAGCGGTCGCAGTGTTCGGAATATCTTCTGAATGAGGCACGTGCATCATGCCCACTGTTACCCAGGCAACCAGGTCTTCGTTCACGATGCTTTCGTTATCTGCTGTGTATCGTGCAAAATCAACCACTGGGTCATACATCCCAAATTGTGAGTAAACTGAGGAGCTTGTTTTTTCATGTTCCTTGTACTTTGTGACCGTCATCTGGTTTTTCGACCATTCGGCCCCTCTCACTAGTTGCCAGTCGTTTGGATACATCTGCTTCATCATGTCCCGTATGTGGATGCGATATCCTCGATTCACGCCCATCTTGTTCACGTTTTCCTCGCTAAAGAAATTCAGGTATTTTGGGTGGTCAAAGTTTTTATGATAAATAGCTTCCTGCTCAGTTTTCTTCAAGCTTCTTCTTAGCACCTTTTGCACTCTTCGGACTCCAGGAAACCAAGGGCTTGTAATGTTTTCAACCTCGATGTCAACCGTTTCATAAGAATTTTTTCGTCCTCCTATATCCAAATCCACTTTATAGTTCAGCAAGTGATCGTGAATTGTGCCTGCTACGAATGGATGGATTTGATTGCCATAAGGAGACTCGTTTGATGTCCAGAAGGTCGCCTGTACATACCCAGAGGTCGACACCCTTACCTCCAATACGCCATTTGGGTAGAACAAGTAATCGTAAATGTAATCATAGTTGTACGCTGTTGAGACTGATCGCAGAACTAACGCGGTACCAGGCATGCCTCCATAGAAACTGAATCCTCCGTCGAAATTGTTGTCAAAATGCCTGCGCAGTGGAAGTCCGAGATTCATCTCAAACAAACATATCGAGTTTCTATACTTGGCGGGAGCTTCTGCGTCAACAAAATGTAAGGTATCAAAGAAGGTGGCGGTACTGGGGCAGTCCACACCTTGGACAAGTTCAAATTTACTGAACCCCATGCCCCAACTCGTATCCAAGTAGTCTGTGCCCATTTGCATCGGACTCCACCCTGAGTAAAATGCTGCAGCTTCCTGTAAACTGAGTTCGTACACGATTCGTTCTCCATCGAATCTGAGATCAAACAGCTGTAAACCGGTAGAGCTGCGAGAGCGGAAGTCAAAACTCCATTTCATGTACTCCACGTGACGTCCGCTGACCACGTAGCGCTTGCCATCGGGCTCAACCAATTGAGGTGGGCGCAGCGGTTTTGGAGGCTGGGGTTTGCCGCGGCGGAGAAAAGTGGAATACAGAGGTGAATCATCGGATGAAGAAGGTGCTGGAAGGAATGTTTTATGAAGAGAACCATTGTTGTAGGCGCTCATTAACTCCTCCACACTTTGAAAGGAAGTGTTGAAGTAAAATACCTTTTCCACTTTAAATAACGATGCATCACTCCCTTTGATGTTGACATAAAACTCAAATCCCACAGGATGCAGGTAGTAACCCAGAAAATCTCTCGAGAGCCAAACCCATGACTTGCGATCACCAAATTCCCCTGGTGCGGAATAAGAGAGAGTAAGGCAGCGATCTGTACACCCACCGTAGGTGTAACCATCATAGCTCTCAAACAACAGGTCACGCACTTGAGTTGTCACATTGAGAACTATCTTATCCAGCACTGCGCTCTCTTTACTGTTTGTTGGCCGGTAATCAAATGGAATCGGATATTTTTGCCCGGGGCCTCTTGTTTCATTGTGATAAGATGGTTTTCCTGCAGGACTGACTATATATTCTCTCACATCGGGATTACTTTTACCTCCATTGAAGATGATAACACGTGCTTTGCGTTCAGGCTTAGGAGCGTTTTCACTGTCGAGATAATCAATCGCCTCATCTTTGGCCGGTTGCTGTAGCTCGATCAAGTAAATGTAGTTGTCGTTAATGGCAGCCTTTTGATAGGGCGTCACATTCAGCGAAGGTTGGCTGAGGATATAATCTCGCACAGCGATGATTTCTTCCTTCGATAAATCGTCGTACACACCTGCCGAGCGTGCCGGAGAAGATATCTCTAACTTTGTTGACTGTGGACAGTCTTTAATTCTCGTGTATGGCGGTGCATCTTTTGGCGAGGATTCCGTTTTGTCAACAGTCAACACCACAATTAATGCGATAATCAGGGCTAGCGACAGCAGAGCAAGTAGAGCGCAAACAATTTTCAGGACCAAAATTGTCCTCGAAGTGTTCTCTTTTCCCTTTGCAGATTCTGATGACTGTAGGAATTCGGATGTCTCACCATCTTTAAATGCTACAGTGTCCATTTTACCGATTACTGTTTGCGTGATAAAAGTTAAGGGATAATAACGGGTGCAGTATTCTGGTAGTCACGCAATGAAAACAATATTGCTATCTGCATTGCAAGTATCTATGCAAATTTAATGGCCTAAAAGTACGCTTTTACATAAGAATAGGAATAGGCTGAATAGAGTTCAACTCCACAGAAAATAACTTTGTCACGAGGCGGCCACTGATTTTCATGATTTTGTCTCTGGGGATTTAAAAAGCTTTGTTTATGCACGGCTAACCTCAATCTCTCTACGAGGCTAGCCGTGAATAAAAAAGCTCTCCTGAAACAAAATGGCCGCCGCGTCCTTCTACATCCGAAATCTTTCTCCAGCAGTCCAAATGTGATTCAACTCCAAGTAACGGATATCTTACGTAAGAGTCGGTGGACCGTGGAACTTTCCGCGACCTGATTTCCGCATGCGCAAAGTCGACGGAGAAGGGACTAGAGTGGCGTTTTGTTGGCCCTGTCGAACACGACCTTATTTAGACACTGGAAGCCCAGCCAAGTTTGTTGGATTTGTCTATTAAATACTAGTAGTTGCCGTTCGCTGCTGTTCAAATACATATTTGCTTTGGTACATCTGAGTTCACCACAGTGCGATGTTTTTAAAAATTCCATAAACGTTTCTCTACTTGATTTTTTCCAACTCATCAAGCGTAACTTTTAAAAGTCATGTGTTAACCATCAAATGCCCAGAAAGATGAAGGTTTGCCACTGAAGTCTCTTTCGCGTTTTACAAATGACGAGAATGAAGACACACAATTACCGATAAAATGATCCGCTCTGCCAAGAATGGCAAGATCCAGCTGAGGAAGCCATGGGTTTAAATGGAAAACTTGGACCTGGAAAACAACCAGAAATATTGAGAGCATTGAATCACTAGCCTAGGCAGTAGAAAAAGTAGTGAATCTTTCTTTTTGATCCTTTTTAAAAATGTAGTAACATCTGTTGACTTGAAGAAGGTTGCTCTGGCCAGCCGAAATATCGTTTGAAACAGTTTTTAATAGAAAGGAGAAGTGTGACGTCACGTTGCCATGGTAGCAAAACTTCAGGGCCCAAGGTTAGCGCTATTTTAACCCGCGTTTCTTTTTCTTTTTATCTGAAGCACTCTCTCGGATAATTTTCTCTCTTTTTTTAGCATATCCAATCATCAAATTGTAGACAAAGAGAATTCAACTGAATTGGCTTTTTAAGCTCTCATATCTGAGTTCAAAATTTGCACTAACGCTGGGTTATCTTAACCCAGCTTTGAACAACCCGGCCCAGGATCACAACAAGACGGAGCTTAACAACGACGACGACGGGAACAAGAACGACAAAAAAGCAAGAGGTTTTTTATAGCAGCAAAACAACAACTTTGCACGTGCATAACGCTTTTTTCTTAGCAATCGTTGCACAACTGCGACATAAAATTTCCCAATTTCACGCGCCCGCTTTATGGCGTAGGTGAACATGACACAAAAACTGAGTTTTTTCTTTACTTATACACGGTACCGTCTTACGGATTCAACCCCAGAAAATTTCGACAGCATTTGACAAATTAAATGAAATTGAATAAGATGGGTAAAGATTAAAATAGTGCGAATTCACTTTTTACGTTTTCGGTTTGTTGTCATCCAGAAATTTTGCTACCATGGCCACGTGACGTAACGACTTCTCCTCTCTATACACGTTGCTATTCACATGCAAATGCAGACGTATTTCCGGTATTCGCTTCTCCCAACCGAAAAGTAACTTTTCGGGTGAAGAGAAGTGACGACAAGAAATACGTCTGCATTCGCAGGCTACGTTGTTATCTTTGCAGTAGTCTTTGGACTTCTCGTTTCTTTGAACAGGGTGCCTTTCTGGACCGGAAGCTTTGAACAAAGGGTGAAAACGTTGGCAGTGCGCAGTCAAGATGTGTTGATTTGTAGGACCAACATATGTTTTGAAAAAATCCAATTTTATTATGTTGGTCTTAATACAAAACACTTTCAAATTCTGTGTGCATGGTCTTTTTTCTTAAAGAGGGTCGCAAAATGACTTTCTTGTCGTAAACAGGGACAGGCTTTTGAAGGCCTCAGCGGCACACCCTTGACCCCTACCCAAACTTCCAATAATTGACCACTCCCCCCCCCCACTCACATCGGGATTACTTTTACCTCCATTGAAGATGATAACACGTGCTTTGCGTTCAGGCTTAGGAGCGTTTTCACTGTCGAGATAATCAATCGCCTCATCTTTGGCTGGTTGCTGTAGCTCAATCAAGTGAATGTAGTTGTCGTTAATGGCAGCCTTTTGATAGGGCGTCACATTCAGCGAAGGTTGACTGAGGATATAATCTCGCACAGCGATGATTTCCTCCTTTGATAAATCGTCGTAAACACCTGCCGAGCGTGCCGGAGAAGATATCTCTAACTTTGTTGATTGTGGACAGTCTTTAATTCTCGTGTATGGCGGTGCATCTTTTGGCGAGGATTCCGTTTTGTCAACAGTCAACACCACAATTAATGCGATAATCAGGGCTAGCGACAGCAGTGCAAGTAGAGTGCAAACAATTTTCAGGACCAAAATTGTCCTCGAAGTGTTCTCTTTTCCCTTTGCAGATTCTGATGACTGTAGGAATTTGGATGTCTCACCATCTTTTAATGCTACAGTGTCCATTTTGCTGTCTGATTCCTGTTTGCGTGATAAAAGTTAAGGGATAATGACGGGTGCAGTATTTTGGTAGTCACGCGATGGAAACAATACTGCTATCTGCATGCAAGCATCTATACAAATTTAATGGCATAAAAGTACTCATTTACATAAGAATAGGAATAGGCTGAGTAGAGTCAGTGGAGTTGAACTTCACGGAAAATAACTTTGTCACGAGGCGGCTACTGATTTTCATGAGTGTCTCTGGGGATTTAAAAAGCTTTGTTTATGCACGGCTGGCCTCAATCTCTCTACGAGGCTAGCCGTGCATAAAAAGGTCGTCACTTGATTCCATCCACCAAACTGACATCCTCCTCTCACAAGACATTTCACTTTTCTTATACGAAATTTTTTGATGAAATGTTCATAAAGTCAAAGTGTCTTCAATTTTTAAGGAAGAAAACAATTCAGGATAGAATGAGTAGGATTCGAACTCTGAGCATCCGATCTGGAGTGCATCTCTCTAACCCCTACACCAACGAGGATTTGGTGACGAATACCAGTTTGATTTAAATATATAACCCTAACCCTAACCCTAACCCTAACGCTAACCCTACTTTGTGTACGAATCATTAATGTGTCAACGTCAGTTTGGCGGATGGAATTAAGTGTAGGCCGCATAAAAAAGCTCTCCTGAGACAAAATGGCCGCCGCGTGACAAAGGTCTAATGGTTTGGAACACTATCATGACTGCTGTGACGTCATGTGATAGCTACTCTGAAGGCCGATTTTCAGTGCAAGCTCCGGTGGTGATTTTGGGCTTGTGTCTTGACATGTTTTAAATTGACTACCCTACAACCGGTCTTGTAGCTGCAGTGATCGAGAGAGTGACAGATAAAGCGGCCCCAAGCGCGTTCTGCAGTTGCAATGTTTTGAGTCAGGCTGTATTATAGAGCATTGTAATCACGAAAACAATTATTCACGATTATTTAACACAGTCACGAAGAGTGGCTATTGAACACGTGACAGTGGCTCTTAACAAGTGAAAGTGATAAGTTTTACAGTTAGACTGCAAAACAGTCCGTATTTTTGCGTAGTCAAGTACGCGCGGGCAGTCAAACAAAAGGTCTGCAACGAGGCTGAAAACACCGATTTCTTTACTGATTTTGAGAAAAAAACCGACTGTTTTGCAGTCTATTTTCCAGTTGGCTTGATTGCTTATAACGGTTCATACACCGTACTTCACATGAGCCTAATCGAATTCAAGGAAATAAGTAATTGTGAAATCTACACGTTGCCTGAATCAATTCGCAATGTCTAAATGAATTTGGATCGGCTTAGCCATTCTTCATGCCTGGCTCAGCTGGTTTTGTTACGACGCCGAACTTCAAATGAGCCGAAACAAATGAATAAATTCAAGTAACGAGGTTTACCGAATTAGGCGTTCTTTCTTTTCCAATTTAGCTCGGCTGCAAAGAAGATCGGCGTCTGAGTCAATTCAGCCGGCCTTTTGAGTCTGCCTAAATTCGAATTCGAATCGGCTATGGCGTCCGGACCGGGCCTTAGTTGTAAGAGGAGGTGCGTCGCGTGACGAAACAAAAGAAGGAGCGCGCGTGAGACTACAAGTTTTCAGCCTATATAATTTCTTTTCCCAACTGCTCTAGTTCTGTTCATTGCTGCGAAGAACTGTGATTCAATTCCAAGAATTCCAAGTAATGGCTATCTTACGTAAGAGTCTGTGGACCGTGTAACTTTCCACGACCTGATTTCCGCATGCGCAAAGTCGACAAAGAAGGGCGTTTTCTAAGGGCGTTTTCTTAGCCCTGTCGAACACGACCTTATTTAGACGCAGGACGCCCAGCACAGCCCAGTTTGTTGGATTTGTCTATTAAATACTAGTAGTTGCCGTTCGCTGCTGTTCAATTACATATTTTCTTTGGTACATCTGAGTTTACAACAGTGCAATGTTTTTTAAAATTCCATAAAAGTTTCTCTACTTGAGTTTTTCCAACTCATCAGGCGTAACTTTTAAAAGTCATGTGTTAACCATCAAATGCCCAGAAAGATGAGGGTTTGCCACTGAAGTCTCTTTCGCGTTTCACAAATGACGAGAATGAAGACACACAATTACCGATAAAATGATCCGCTCTGCCAAGAATGGCAAGATCCAGCTGAGGAAGCCATGGGTTTAAATGGAAAACTTGCACCTGGAAAACAACCAGAAATATTAAGAGCATTGAATAACTAGCCTAGGCAGTAGAAAAAGTAGTGAATCTTCCTTTTTGATCCCTTTTAAAAATTTAGTAACATCTGTTGACCTGAAGAAGGCTGGTCTGGCCAGCCAAAATATCGTTTGAAATAGTTTTCAATAGCGAGGAGAAGTGTGACGTCACGTTACCATGGTGGCAAAATTTCTGAATCACATCAAGACGGAGCTTAACAACGACGGCGACGGCAAC